TAAAAAATTAAAAAATTAATCATAACTTTTTTTCATACAAATTGACAATTATATAATATATCTTTTTATATTTTGAAATTAACATATACTTCAGACTTATATTACTCTTATTATTTAAATTTCATTCTTTGAATTTATCATTTTTTTTTATAAAAATTCTCATCCAATTAATATTTTTTGTATGAAATTTTATTTACTGATATTATATAATTTATTTTTCTCTATATTTGAATTTTAGAATAAAATTTTAAAACATGATTGTTTTTTTTTTTGAAAAATAAATTGGTATATATATATATATATATATATATATATATATATATATATATATATACATATAAAAGGTTAAAATTATATTTCAAATAATTTATCTCGATTCACTAGATATGGTCAAGACATATAAAAAAATTATTGAATCATTCATTTTATTAAAAATCAACTATATATCTTTCAACATAATACAAATTACTTACTATAAATATTTTTTTAACACCATAGAACCAATTTATTCGAAATAAGATAATTAAAATAATTTTTTAAAAGAACCAATCAATTATTCAAATATTGTTTTTTATGCTAATTTTATTGATTATTTTGTTAATAAATATATATAGATCAAATGCATATGCTTGAAAAAAAATTAACGATGCTTGAAAAAAAATTAATCTTCTCACCAACATTAAATAAGAATAAAATTTTATTTTTTCATTGGTTAATTCTTATGCAAGTTTATACATTAATTTTAATTTTATTTTTTAAATTCATTCTTATAAAAAATATAATTTTAAAGTATTTGTTTTTGAATTCCTAATTCATTTTTCGAGTTTAAATTATTACATGTTTTTATTTAAGAATTCCTAAATAACGAAGAATAAATCATACTTTTTAAGCAAAAATTTTTATGAAAAACACATAAAAATAGTAATAATTAAATAAAAATTATTACATTTTGAAATGATTTTGTTCTATTTACCAATAACGTTCCATGGATAATTTCAAAAATTATTTTTTCTCATCGGCATTGAATTAGAAATCTTTTCATTTGTTAATTTTTGTCAAAGTCTATCCATTAATTATAACTTTTTTTAGAATACGACATTGTGAAAATTATATTTTTAAAGTTTTTTCTATTTTTGATTAATATTTTAGTTAAAATTATTATAATTTTTAATTTTAAAATCAATCCATAGAGGAATGGTTTGTTTTTTTTTTTAAGCAGAAAATTTATAAAAACATTAGAAAAAAATTAATTAAATTAAATATTATAATTTAAAAAAAAATTTAATAATTTTGTTCTACTCGGACCCGTGGCATAACGCAAGCAACCGACTAGTTACATCTAATAAAGTTATGACAAGTTCTTAATATTATTTTTATCTAATTATTGCAAATAATGATAACATCATATTTGTTATATAATGATTTGTCAACATCACAGATAAACTTTTCCAATTAGCATCAGAGATAGTTGGCAATAGGGGTGAACATTTAGTTTTTTTTTTTTTCGGTTTTTAATATTTTAATTTAGTCTTTGATTAAAAAACTCAAACCGAATTAAAATAATATAAATAGGTAAAAATTTTAATTTTTTTAAAATAAGATAAAATAAATAGGTAAAACATTTTGTTATGAACCACGCAGTCCTTCTTCTAGTCCAAATTAGCTAAATTAGCTTATAAATATATAGTTAAATAAAGTTAAAGTATAAAATCATACCAATAATAAGATTTGAAAATTTAAATACAAGTCTACTAATCTACATCCAAAATATATATTAATAAAAAAATCAATTATTCAAACATGTTGTACCAAACTATCAAAGTTAAAATAACAATAAAAAAGTTCAAAATGAAAAAAAAAATCAATTTTCATTGGAAATCAAACAAAAAAAATTTAAAACTGAACCAAAAAAAACAAAAAAATGATATAAATTTAGTTAATTCTTTTATTTAAAAACCAAACACTGCTCATCCTAGCTGACATAAAAAAATTAATAATTTTATCCCTCATTTTATATAACTTCACGAGTCCCTTAACTGTTCATAGGTTAAGGGTTCTGAATTCTTTTTATGTATTATTGTTGTTCATCTGATCCTTCCTCATAGCAACATTGGAGTCTTCTCCAGCTAATCCTCCTCCCTCACTTTGCACTAAAATATTAAATTTGCAAAGCACCACGACCCTACCAATAGCCAATAAAGAGACGTGTCATCCTTAAATGTTAAACAACCTCATCAACTATCAATCATTAGCTCTTGTCCACATAAAAGCCCTCTGATTGGTTGATTCGAAAGGTTTAACTCGTAAGGGCGAGAAAGAAAAAAGGCTAAATGATATTAAAATACTATAAACTTTCAGTTAAACTGAGATAGACTCTTAACTTTTATAAGTTTAAAATTGACTACTAAAAATTATGTTACGGTAACAATAACTTCATTTGATTAATTTTTTATGTATTGATTGCCACGGAATAGTTTTGAAAAACAATATAAGTTCTGCTAATTAAAATTTGAAACGCATAAGGATACATTCAAAAAATACATTATTTTTTAAGGCTTCTAAGTAATTTGCAGGTACGGTCAATGTTGAAAAATTGGCTGTCAAAACCTGTATTTATTAAAAAAAAGTTAATGATGATCAAATTAAAATTTTTAAATATTAGAGATCTATTTCAATTTAATCGAAAAGGCAGAATGCTTTTATCATTTAGTCAAGAATTAATTACGTTTCCCCTTAGAAGTTGGAACACGTGGAGAATTAGCAAAACTGTTCAGAAGTTATGGTTCACGCTACACATTCATTGTCGTGCACCAAAGCTAGCCGTGAATATCATATTCTTCTCGAGAATGCTATTTGTTTGCTGTCCATTTTGCAGGCCTGGAATATGCTAGAGGACACTTTTGCAATCTGGAAGCATGATCGATTGATGGTACAGAATTGGATCTTTTCAAGTACTTTTTGTTCTAGGACATTAATGAACCACTTCATTAATTTTGCACCCACATATCTTTATCATCGTTGTTATATTTTTTATACTATTTTTTTAATAGAAATTGGATTTTATTGATAACTGGCCTACGGGCCCAATATTGCAAAAGCCCAACCAGAGTTAGGAACAACAATAAGGGGAAGAGTGGACATATTCCTGGACAAAGTTCAACACGGGACAAAATTTAAGCCCAAGCTCAGTCAGACAAAACTACTCGCGCAAGGATGCACAGCCTCCACCGAGTAGCCTCGCACCAGCCACCAGCCTGCAAGGAGTCCTTTTACCTTCCGAACAGCTCTCCTCCTTCAAATCTATCTCTACCCTGGACTGGTTATCCCTTATCATAACCGAGGAGGCTAAATAATATAAACATCCTCTAAATTATTCGTCGATATCTCTTAATCTATAGGGGTTGTTTTTATTTACACAACACACTCTTTTTATCCAATTCTATCCATTTTAATAATTAAATATCACAAAAACAGAACCATAATCTAGTGGTTTTTTTCTCGGGAATGTTTTATGCTGAGTTAGGTGGAGAATGAATTCTTAATGATCTTTCATCATTTTTTTTTAATATTTCTTCACTAATATTAAGGGAAAAAAAGTGCAACTCACGTACTACAAGGAGTCTGGTTAAAAACACCAGAGCTGAAAAAAAAAAAAAGACATTGAAGAGGTGTTAATTAAAAAAAAACTTATAAACAAATGTTGTTTATGCTGCTCTAACGTACACTGCGTAGTGGCCGCCTGATCATCCAGAACTATCAAGTATCAACATCACCCTTTGATCAAAATCGAATGCATGACGATCAAAGAGAGAGGAGTTTCGGCTATCTATGCACCACTATTTTGGATCCGTAACCACAAATCGCATTTGCCCTTTGATGCTACTTTCAAGCGTGTTGTGGTGCCTTTATTGAGCTAACTGTTAAGTATCCGTTTGGTTTGGCGAAATGAGACTCTTTTCTCTCTTTCCTTTTTAAAGTCCACGAAAAAAGTGTTCAGTAAAATTTTAAAAGCAGTTTCGAAAACTTTTCAAAAGTTAAAAGTTATAAAAAAATAACTTTGAATCTTGCATAAAATAAGAATATTTTAACAACATATATTACCAAATATTTCTTTTACAGTTATAATAATCACAACTAAAAGCCATGCTTTTTCAATTAAAAGCCTTCTAAGTCCTAATATGTATATATATATTAAAAAAAACAAAATGATAATAATGAGGTTTAAATTTCTGGGGAGTCCTTTCAAAGTTAAGGCAGGACAAGGTGAATTTGGGCCTGGGATTGAAATTTCAATTGAGTTAACAATTTTTTTGGATTGGCATACCGCACAGAAATTCAGCTGTTGCTTTGCTTTCTTGAAAACAATGGCATAACATATCCATATGAAATAGGAAACAAAAAAAAAAAAAAAGAATCGCCGAAAATGTTTGAAAATTGATTTGAAATAAGAAGCGAAAAGAAATTATTGAAGATTAATTAATAGCCTAAATAGACGTTATACTTCAAAAGCAAAGAACCTGCAATAAAGAGTCACAAAAGAAATCATACCCTTTGACTTCCGTAGTACAGATAAGACTCGCTCTTCTCTAGTAAAAAGCATCGTTACAGGGACAATCACGTAATTATACCAAGCAAAATATCTCAATCCACCAACGTGTCATAATTCGAAAGCGAGTAGCCTCATTATTTGCTTACCCCTCAAGTACGGAAAGCACTCGAAACGTTTTCATTTTAGAGACCCCAAATCTTTCCCTCGTATGGTTAGTTTCAAATTTCAAAAACGACCCAACAACTCTCTCTCTCTTTCACCCACTGATTAAACCCCAAAAGAAAGAAAGAAAGAAAGAAGAAAAACAGAAAGGGGTTTTTACATGAATAAAGAAAAATAATAGATAATTGATAGATGACGCAGTAGTATGATATGTGCATTGTTGAAGCGTGAAATTGGATTGATTTTGAGATCCATTTTGCGGTTTCTTAATTGGTCTTTTTTAAGAGCTATGGGTTGTTTCTTTACCTGCTTCCGTCCCAAAGATGAGCGCTCTAATCGATCTCGACCGCACGCCATATCCTCCGATTCTCTTCGATCCAAACCTGCTCTTGTAATCTTTCTTTTTTCTTCATCAATTTTCTGTTTTGTTGTTGAGACCTTTTTTTTTTAACTGGAAACGAAACGCTTCCTTTGCTGTTTCTTGACACTGAATTTCAGGAAAAAGAAGCGAATTGTAATCGTGCCATTTCTTAGTCTGATTTAATGCGTTTTTATTTCGTTTGGTATCTGTTTGGCTGGCTAAGAAAATGAAGCAAAATAAATGAAAACAAGTGGATATGGCTTCGAGTCTTCGACTGAATTATTGAATGTTTAATTTTTTTTCTATTCATGTTTTTTTATGAGATTAAACAGAGGATTATTGAATTGTATGATATTCACTGTTTTTTTTTTTTTTGGCTTGTGTGGTGAATGGGGAGCAGGAAGCTGTGGTACCTAAACTAGTTTATCGTCTTTATTTCTCTGTTTGGTTGACGAAATTTTTCCTTTGTTTCGTTCCTCTTATCTGTTTCTGGATACTGAATTTCAGGAAACGAAGCGATTTTTCAGTCTAATTTTTTATAGGATTTTTTGTTTAATATCTGTTTTGGTTGGATAGAAAATGATGCAAAATAAATGAAAATGGCCTCTGAATGAGTGTTTAATTTCTTAGCGTTAATGTTAGTTAGAGATTAAACAGAGGATTATTGAATTATAAGAAATTAACTCTTTTTTTTTTTTTTGCTGGGTTGTGAATGGGAAGCAGGAAGCTGGGGTATCTAAATCTCGTTTATCATCTCTATTTTTGTCTGAAGGTAATTAACTGTTTAATATCTTTAATTATATTTCGCTCTAATTTTTGCTGATTTTTTTTTCTGACTTCTTTTTAATTGCATTTGTTTCCCTTTGCAAGAGAAAGAAGAATCTCTGCATGGTGATATTGAGAATCCTTGTTTAGGGTCTCCAAAGATCAACAAGGGACTCAGGGATGAGGTATGTATTTAATGTATTTATTAATGAGTTGCTTGAAAACGGAAAAATTAACTGGATTAAATTTGAATTGGAATTTAACAATTGTTGCATAATCTGCTATCAGAATTTGTTTACCTTTTTCTAAGATGTCACTTTTATCACTTCCGAATTATCATTCCTACCCTTGTACTTGTATTAGAAATGGAATTCATGAAGCCATTTAAATGTGAGAATGATTTATGATGTCGGATGTTTATAGATGGTTGGAACTTTTAGAATTCTATAGGCGGTGATATGTAGATCCCATGATAAGATGATAACACAGTTTACATTATTGTATATCTTCCTGAAATACTATAGTCAGTGTTAATATTTCTAAAGGAAGAGTGATCTCTTCATCTCTTGGTTTTTCTGGATTTATCTTTCCCTCATATTCTTCAGTTAACAGAATCAACTTTAATCTTTCTAAGTGAGAGAGCTGATTAATTGACTTAGTATTTTTGGCCATTTACTTCTCTCTGCAGGCTAAATTTCTTAAAGCTTGTGGTACTTTGCCAGAGACTCCATCTGAAATTCGGAAAGCTTGCCAAAAGTTTAAAGGTTCGCCTGCTCACGATAAAGATTCGAGAACCTTCAAAGTTCCATTCTTGGCTTCCCAACACGTCGATGGAGAAATTTCAGATGGATAATCAAACTGATCAGCCCCCTACTCCGGTTAAACTTTGTGAAGAGTGGGGAAAGAGTTCAGTTTCTTCCGAGCAGACACCTAGCAGGTTGAACTTTTAACTTCTATGAGTTGTCAAGCCATCAACACACATATATAGCTTCTCTGTGGGCCTATATGACCTAGAGAATAATTTTCTATCTCATTTTTCAAGCTTAAGAATCACTTTGCTATCAGTCTGCAAACTTTTTGTCAATCCTATCCATTGATCCTTTCTGATGGTCTTGAGTAGTAACGTTTCAGGCCAGTTAAAAGATCTGCAACTAATGATTGTATTTTATTGCCATTTTGTTTCTGGGCATGACGAGATTTATTAGAGACTGATCAAGTCACGCAATATGTTCTAGTATCGTCTGCACTACTTTAGAACTCATCTTTGAAAGTTTTAGGCCGGCTAACATTTCACATCTTTTTTTCTGTAGCTGTATAACAACCAGTGAAGATGGTGAGTCAGGGAAAAGAGTGATCAAGGTTCTTGCAAATGAGAGTGATAATGTTGTTGCTGGTCCTTCTTGGCTTTCAGCTACAAATGTTCAGAGCAGGAACAAGTCTGTTCGCTTTGAATGTGATTTTGATACATCTTCTTCTACAAGGTCTTCATCTGAAAACAGTTGCCAAGTTCCTAGGAAATATGAATCTCCAGGGAATCTGAATGTTTCAAAGCTTTCTCCTAAACCGACCCCACTAAAACTTTCAGATGACATGCAAACACCCGGTACTGTTTTTCCTGCAAACCTAGAAACTTTAGCTAATGGAAAGACTACGATCAGGTCCCAATATGTTTATTCAGTCTTGAACCCCGTTGAAAATGCCTCTCAGTGGAAGTTATTGAAGGAAGATGATTTTAACTCACTTAAACTGTCAGGTCAGCTGAGTGGATCTCTAGAGCAGTCTGAAAGTGCAACTCCTAAACCAGAATGGGGAGTAAAAGAAACTTCCACTGGGAAAGATTTGAAGGCGGAAGCGAGCTTGTCTTCTTGGGTCAAACCACCACAGTCCGCACATGATGAAGATAATACAAATGTTGGTACCGCTTCTATAAAAAATTTTCGTTTCGGCAGAACTCCTGGGGACAGGCCTATCATTGGGATGGTTGCTGCTCACTGGAATGAGAATGAACCTTCTGAAATCTCCCCGAAATGGTGGGATGGAAATGGAATTCCAAATTCTACAAACAAATATAAGGAGGTACTTCATATTACCTTATTCATTCTGTTCTCACCGTTTGCATTGTTAGAAGCTTCATTCAAGGAACCATCATTTTGTTTTCAGGATCAGAAAGTAAGTTGGCATGCAACACCATTTGAGGAGAGGTTAGAGAAGGCATTGTCTGAAGAGAGTTTCATCTCACAAAGGTAGTTCTCTACTTTTCTTTTTTTTTGGTTCCGATCTGTGTTTTTGACTATTTGTTGGCCATGAAGTTGAGTTTGTATCTATTCCCAATCCAGAACCTTATCTTTCTACGAAGGAAGCAAGTTTTATTACTAGCTAACTTTTTGTTTCCTCCCAAAATAACTTCCCCAAAAGAATAATGATCTGGCTACCGTGTCAGATTGAGGACGCGTCTTTTAACCTCAATCAGCTCAGCAGATCGAGTCCCATAATTTGTTTCTCTTTATATACTGATTAAGATTTGCCTTGTACCTCTTCCCCTGCCCCCTTCGTGGGAAGAAACCAGAAATGTTAATCCACTAATCTCCGTTGAGTTCTGATGTTTGTACCTTCCCAATTGGAAACTTAAACTAGGAATTTGGGCAGAAACGAATTTCATCAGGGATAAACTAAAAAACTAGCAGCATCTCCTGGGTTAGTCAAACGATGAAACACAAGTATCTCTTTCATATAGATTCTGAGTGATCATTTGTCTGATCTGCAGGAAGCCTATCAGCGGGAGGCCCGTAGTTTTTGACGAGTGCGAGGAAAGTGATACGGCTGTATCTCGGTTGCAAGCTTCTACACAAGCCAAGTCTGTTGTTTCGTTCTGATGCGTGATGTCAGACTGGTAGTTTTGTCTCGTTGCGATCTGATTTTGGCTTGCAACTGATATATTGTGAATGCCATGTAGTTTTAAAACCCGAAAAACTGTTTACACCATCTTTGGTTTGTATTTAGACGTTGAGCAATCAAACTGATTTGGAAATACTTGAGTCTTGGTGTCAGCAGCCCAAGAACTGCTTGTAACGTACATCGGCAATGAATACTCGCATTGGTCTATTGGATTAGTTATGCTACGATTTTAGAATCTTTGCCCGTGTTTTTTTCCCTCGTATTGTTGCCTCCAGCGTGGAACCGGACCAATACCCCATAGGGTGAAAGATGAAAGATCATTTACCATCCGTAAAAAAATAAGAGTTACCTTACCAACCAATCCCGTCTTTGTTGGGGTAAAAATTAAAGGAAGAGGGAGAAAACCGAAAATCCCAAAACCCTAACCATATAAAAAAAGGGGCTCGGTCTTACCCGACAACGAAGGGAGCAAGAGCAGTGCTATGCCAGAGAGAGGATATGCAAGAGAAAAGACTGGAAGCGGCAAAAAGAGAAGCATGTGGAAACGAAAACCTGAGGGGATAATCATGATGTCCTTAATTATATAGTAGTTTTCAATCTGAATCGAAACTCTCTTGCTGCTCGTCTTTCTTCTTCATCTCTTTCTGCGGTCACTTCTCGACTCCCTTTGGAGCCTTGTGATGATTACAGATCTGAAGGTTCATCAATTCTCTTCTCTTCTTTTTTACCTTGTATTTGATTTGTTAATGCTCCTCCATTCATCAATCTTCTTGTTTTTATTTCGAGATTTTATGTTCTCATAATTTTTTATATCAAGTCAGTGTTTGATCGAATTTTAATAGTGTCAATTTAGATTCTTTTCTTCTTTGTTTTGGTTACTTGTTTCAAGTTTGAGCTTCTTTTCTATGAAGAGTGGTTTCTTTTGTGAAAAAGAACCCAGTGAGAGCAAGAAACTAATCAAAATTCCAATTTTTCATAAATTAAAAAACTTGGTTGTGTCCTTTGCTCCCCTTAACCTCGAATGAACAGGCTGAATAATTTTCCCCCCGATTTCACCTCATGAATGCATCAATTCAATCTTAGCAAAGTAGCCTGAAATCTGCATATTTTTCTTAGCCCAATCAGATTCTGCACGCCAATTTCTCACATGTCTATAAATGCCAGAAAGCTGTAAAATAGTGGATAGGTGATCCCTTTCTTCTGAACGCTGATTGCACATTTCACACAAGCCTGCAATGTTCCTCTCCAGTTTTAACCACTATTGTCCTTTTGAGTATCTGATATTTCGCTCGTATTTTCTCTTCCCAGTTCCATTTTCTCCAATTCTTTCCCTCATTTCTCCTTAGTATCTGTTTCGCTTAGTTGTACATGTTGGGCTTCAAATTCGGTTCTTACCAATTCGAGGCGAGTTTAAATTTAAGTAGCCCAAAGCACAGGCCCAGCTCAATTATAGGACTGCTACTTACAGCTTAGCTCATATTCATAATCTTCGGAGTGAGTTTAGATTCTATGTAGCCCAAACTACAGGCCCATCTCAATAAGAGGACTGCTACTTACGGCTGAGCTCATATTTATTATAACCAACCTTGGGAAATAATCTTGGATCTTACTTGATCATCAGGGTCCAAATTTCAGGAGGGGAGTGAAGGGTGGAGACCTTGAATGGAAACAGAGAGAGCCATAAAAGGGGCGAGACCAGAGTGCCCACGGAGGAGCACATGGGAAGGGTTCGCCCTTGCATTGAAAACCACTTTTTAATTATATTTAAAAAAAAAAAAAAATCCTCAAGTCTTAAGCTGGCGTCGTACTCATAGGATTCGACCTCTATTCATTTGAACAAGTCAAAACTGAAAAGAGTAGTGTAATATAACAAGCTGCAGTAAATGTCTGTAATTCTTCGACAACAAACTAAAGCATAACTAAAATTAGCATTATGAGCTATTACAATAGTACGGGGGAAGACATTCTACTCTGCCACTGTAGTTCGGAGAGGCAGAGAACTTTCAACTTCCTTAGCATCAGCACTCCTCTCAGCAACAATCTTTGACATTCCAAACATCTGAAAATAAAACCATGTGTTAGGCCAGCTACCAATTCACACACACACAAGAGATTACATGATAAATTCGTCAGTTGGCACTTGGCAATTAAACATTTTGAACTTAAAAGTGGGAATTAACCTTCTTGATAGTCTTCGTAAAACAATTCTTGTGCTCTTCCATAGATGCATGAAGGAACTCATCAATGTGATCCTTCACATCCTCCAAAAAAGTGGCATCATCCTTCACCTTCCGTCGACATGAAGTGACGGCAGGTGATTGCTGTTTTTCCGGTTGACTTTTCTGTGCCTCCATTTGAAATATTTCTGTTCTACATGAGAATTGAGATTGGTTTTGAACACTATGACAGCAAGTTTTGAGGAAAGTCATGGGTTTCGTTTATCATGAATTCCTGCCTCAACTTGGAACTCAAGAATGTTTAATCATCATAAAATATCCAATGAACTCCTTCAACTTCCCTTGCTTACGCAACACATTAATCATCATAAACAAGTTGTGTTTGGTTCAAGGTGTATGATAAAATGCCACTGAGAGAGTGAATTTCAGGTTACATATATATTTCCAAGTTTTTTTTTCCTTAGGTCTGTTTGGGTTACACCTGATCCTGAGTCATATGGCCTGATAAGCAGGCACAAACTAAAGCAAGACACATTTGACCAGGCTTGAGATTAGCATTTGAGGTTCCAGTCCAAGCCCGGTCTAAATATATCCTAATGCTATTTTTTTTGGGTAATATATTGGAGTTGCAGCACATTTCTAATGGAAAATATCAGTTAATTAATTCTTGATTTTAGAGAAGTGTAACCTGATAGGCAGACTATCTACTAGAAATCTCACATGGGTGGCCACTTTAAATTTCATGTTCACATTTCTATGAACCAGAAATGCATCAATATGCAAACTTCATGTTCATTCTTCAAAACCGAAAGAAAAAATATCAAACTTCCACTTTTATTTTCAAAAAGCATGGCAGTCACGTCTGTTAGTTTTACAAGCCAAACTATGCAACTTTTTGGATAAAGCTCAATCAAATACAAAAAGAAAAATAGTTGCAGGATGACAGCACCTATTTTGTCCAGCAAGCAAATTTTTAGTAAAAAATCGTCAAAATCAGGAAAACAAAAGAGAAATGCCCGTTGTGGTATTCAGAAACAAATAAATACATGAGTGAACGCATCATCGGAGAGATCAATGTTGGCCTCTGGTCTCTAGCCTTTGAGAAAACCCATGCCACACCACAAAAATTCTCAAAAACTATGCAATATCACTAGAGATCAAATCTGAAATTTTATCCTGATTTATATCCTAGTATTTATTTCAGCATAGATTATCAAATTAAAATCACACCAATCCATGAACTAAAAAAAGGAAGCAACCAATTGTAGTTTTCTCAAATTCCCAACTCCCATTTGGCATCATCATCGGCCAACATCAATTTACTCTCTAAGATTTTTACCATCACACGCACTCACGCAAAAAAAATAAAAAATTCAAGCATCGTTCATTCGTTCCCATCTCCACCAAGTATCAAAACAGACAAGGCAAAACAATGGAAAATCTAAACCAGGCGACATGTGAACTGAGAACAGAAACAAATTAGCAACTGGTAGCCTAGATTATTCTAGATTCCGATTTTCAAGCTTTAACTTGTGTATATGGACCCAGAAATTCAAGCATTTAACACATGACCCTGACGCCGTTTCGCACTTAGCCTTAACCTCAGCAGAACTCATTTCTGTATGTCAAACCTCAAGCAAAGGTTTTTTTTTTTTTTTAGTTAAATGGCTGTGAACCCTCAAAGATACATAATAATCTCCGTAAGTTTACAGTAATAGGATTCGTTAATATGCACTTTTAAGCACCCAGCCAGTAAAGCATGGACATATAGCAAACAAGAAAAGGATAAAAGAAAGAAATTATACCTTTTGAGACTTTTGATAAGTTAAAGGGATATCGACAGTTTTGTCTGCGATTGCCTTCTAAGCCTTCAAAGCCTCACTCCTTTCTCCCTGAACCCTTGGGTTGCGGCTGCCGTCGACGGTGGCCGGTGTGGTGGAGCTAGCGATGGTAGCGTCAGTGTTGCTGCTGTTGGAGGATGGCGGCGCTTTAGTGATCACTAGCCGTCCGATGGCGTGGTGGCGGTCCTTGGTGATCTAAGATAGTGACTGCAGTCGGTCGTCAAGCTGATGCCGTTAGGGGCGGTAGCGCGGATGAAGAAGAGGAGGGGGTTTCGAGTGTGATGATAATTACAAATAATATATTGAAAGGTCGGGGAAACATCAATTTAGCCCCTAATATGATTTTATTATCAATTGAGTCCAAAGTCTTTTGATTTTATCCTCTTCGCTCTAAAGATAATCAAAATTAATAATGCCATTGCACCACCCATCTATGTTAATGGCAGTTCAAAAATTTTCTCCGATTTACGGTGATTAAAGGTGAAAATAAATAACAATTTGATTAAAAAGACAATTTTAATATAAATTTCTTTCAATTTTCTTTTTTATATAAGTTAGTGAAATGAAACAAAAAGTATTATGATTCAAAACTAAATTATCCTTTTGGGTGGATTAAAGCTTAATTGGTGCTTCCGATTGTAACAAATAATTAGCGAGCATGTGAAAGTTAGACAAAGTCTTTTAATTGCTACTAGCAATAGATGGATGGACGGATGAGATTGTCTGATATTGATTTTGTTGGGAGTAACATTAATGAAATCAAGAGATCTAGAACTTAATTAATAATAAGATAATATGATAGAGGCTAAATTGAGGTTTCCCTGATTGGTTGGAATTACCTCCACCACCCTTAGTTTTAAACCCATTACACTTTACACCATGTATTTTTAAAAAATACAATTTTATCCTAAGATTAACGTAATCAACTTTTTTTGTCCCAAGCTTTTGAAAAACCAAAATTAATCCTAACTCTTTTCAAAAAAAAAAAAAAATAGAAAGTATTTCACTCTCATTTTATCAATTACACTCCCTAATTTGGAAGAAAATTTTATATTTCTTGAAAGTCATACAGTCAAAGTCTCAATTTTATTTTTTAAAATAAAAGTTTATATTTTTTGAAAATCCATGTTATTTATGCATCAATGTGTTTTCGTAATAAATCATAAATTGAAAATTGAAATTAAAAAAAAAATAAAGAACGTGCTTACTAATGAATGGGGACAATACATTTTACGTTTTTTCTACTAGTAACGAAAAGAAATAAGTTTGAGGAAAATGAATGATTTTTCCTTTGAAATAGTTTTAAATTCCTAAATAGACATTTTGCTACTTTATTCCAAGCATTCACTATATTTCCAAGGCTATTTAGTTATTTTACTAGTTGGTTTCCCATACTACACAACGTATCTAATTAAATATATTTATTTTAATTTAATAGTTTGTATTATGTTATTGATCTATTAAAATATATTAAATTAAAACTAAAAGATAAAATTTCATAATTTTTAATCAAATTCTGAATTTCATTCATTCTTATTTGTGTTTTCCATAGTTTTTTTTTTTGTTAAAAAAAACACAATTCTTTTTTCATTATGAATTCTTTTTTAAATAAAAATATGTAATAATATAAATAAAAAAATTATAAAAGTATCTTAATATTTTTTTTTCATAAGATTGCATCGAAAAAATAAAACAACAATCAATATTAAATCCGTATAAAAATGAACCAACGAATCTTTTTTAACTTTTTCAAAAAATATATATTTCATTTATATATATTTATTTATAAATCAATCAATAGTATTAGTATAAAACAAAGTATTTAAATTATTATGTGGTTCTTATAAAAAAAATTTAATTATTTTATTTGACATAAATTTATTTTAGAATATTAAAAATATTTGATAGCAAATGATTAGCGTTATATGTGTAGATGCATGATTAATTTTTAATAAAATCAATGATCTTGATATTTTTTTTATGTATCATGATCATACTAAGTGGGGCAAAGTGTGGAGTATGGATTGAAAAATATTTTTGGAAAACTTAAATTGAAAGAAATGTCGTTACTCGACGTCCGACAAAAACTCCCGAAAAATTCTAAGTTTCTACAATTAACCATGTATATACATGTTAATTAATCATATATTTACAGAATTATTCACAAGTTCGAGTCGTCACCTAGTATTGAAGGAACTAGGAACCTTAAATAAGCACTCGGTTCAAAGATTCTAAAATAAGAAATTGATTATGCTTTTCGGAAGATTTTTAATCACGAAAAAGTGCCCATTCCGACGAAGGGTACCATGTTTGTGTTTAGGCTTAAATTCATCTTTTGAAGTGTTTTATTTGTGTCAAATTATTTTTTGATTTGAAACTCCAATTTTCAAGTTGAAGTAAGTTTTTTAATAGTGCATTTGGCATCAAATTGAAACAATCGGTCCCCATTATCGGATAACACGTTAGTTCAAACATCGGATCCACTTTAAGTCTCGACACCTATTATTGAAAAATATTTTTAGAAAACTTAAATTGCAAGAAATGTTGTTACTCAACGTTAGATCGAAACTCCTGAAAAATTCTAAGTTTCTACAATTAACCATGTATATACATATTAATTAATCATATATTTACGGAATTATTTACAAGTTCGGAGTCGCCACCCGACATTGAAGGAACTATGAATGTAAAATAAGCATTGGTTCAAAGATTCTAAAATAAGAATTGATTACGCTTTTCGAAAGATTTTTAATCATGAAAAAGTGTCCTTTTCGACGAAGGGTGTTGTGTTTGGGTTTAGTCTTAAATTTATCTTTTGAAGTGTTTTATTTGTGTCAAATTATTTTTTGATTTGAAGCTCTAATTTTCAAGTTGAAGTATGTTTTTTAATAGTGCACGTGGCATCGAATTGAAACAAATTATCGGTCTCCATCATCGGATAACATGTCGGTTTAAACATCGGATCCACTTTAAGTCGCGACACAACCTATAACGCTTGTCAATCAAGACACCTCATCCGAAGGGTCATGATCAAACGGGTTGTTACTAAAACTTATATCCTTTTTATTTTTCTAAAAATTAAGTTCCTAATTTAATATTATTTAAATATGTCAATTTAAAAATATAATTAATAACATATAATCTTAAGATTTTCTTATCAACATAGCGGAAGCGTTCTTCTAAAATTTCATATTTATAAAACATCTATCACCACAATTAACATTTCTAAATAATCTTGTCTCAATATTCATACCCAAATTCTAAGTAAAAATTTCAAACATTCATAAGTTTAACATCATTACACTTATTATTTTAAAAATAAATATTCATTTAAAGCATAACCTAATCGTTAGGAAAATGCAAAGGCAAGCACATAAGTCACTCGGTCACTAGAAGTAGCATCAACATCCTCAACATTTGCATCATTACCTACACCACAAAATGGACGTGAGATACGAATATCCCAATAAGTATAACATGCATGATTTTGTATTAAAACTTTTTGTACATGAATGTCTTTAAAAGTCTTTTCTTCATTTAGGCCTCGCTAAAAGATACTAACACCGGTTAGCGAGGTCTAACCTCGGTAAAAACATACATAAAAATATTAACCTCATCATTTAACAATCAAACCTCAACCTTTATGCCTCGATAGGCAACCTCAATATTTGAACCTCATTATGTATTAAAACAAATAACCTTATTCCTTTACTTAAAACATTTTCTTTCAATCAACATGTAAAACATATGCATGCGTATGAATGCACTTCAAGATCATCACATCAATCACATACAAGCATATAGCATTTACGTCAATGGTGTAGGTGAATTACACTTACTTTATTCGCTTAAGACCACTCGTTTATCGTAACCTTCCTCTAAAAATCGATACCTCGACTTGATTCAAACCTTGAACATACACACCCTATAATATAAGAAATTGAATATTATTATTTTATCTCTAATCGTTTAATTTTTATGAATTCTTATTCTTTTTTTGTAATTTCTTATAAATTAAAAATCCTAATTAAATCATCAACTCACTCTAATGTATTCAATTCTCCTCTAATTATATTCATATAATCTAATGTTATTAAATTTTAACTTAACTTATTCCATTCTTATTTAAATACATTTAATCATCAAATATTCTAATAAAAATTTAAGATTCTAATACTAAAATATAATTTTTACATAATTAATCTTAAATCCCGAAATTTCAAACTCAATTCTACCTAAAATCATATGAAAACAAATAATTAAATTAAATATTTTTTTACCTTAAATATTGAATCACCAAGACTTTAATATTTTTCCAAGTACCTTTGACTTCACTTCTTACTCAATTTATATTCTCTCTCTCTCTCTTGAAATATATGCTTGTGAAATAGCTTTCCTAAATGAGGAGAATGACACCCTATATATAGGCATGTGAAGTTGAAACATTTGAGAATTTTAAGTACATGAATTAAAAATAATAAAAAATCACTAACTTTCTTCTTTCATGGCCACTAAGTGGCTTTCTTTTATTACCACTAACCTTCTTCTTTTATGGCCACTGACCTTCTTCTTTTATGGTCATTTTCTTTTTTTTCATGGTCATTCATGTCTCCTCTTTAATTTTAATATATGTTTCAAAACTTTTTCTCTTCTTTCATATCCACTAACATTTCCTTTAAAAGCTAGCAAAACTTATTATTATTTAATTATTATTTATTAATTATTATTATTATTTCAATCCTTTAATTCCTAATAGTTTAGGCTAAGATTGTAGGATTAATTCCTATTTATAAAAATACCATCTATAATACCCGAAATATATATAGTATATCCTAAAACTTTATACCTAATCATCACATCATCTAAAAATATAAAAATATTAAATTACATACACAAATATAGCACATATGCACACATATACACACCATATATTATCATGCAAAAGTTTTTAGTATTACACAACCTATACTTTAGAGAACACCCTAATTAAATGACGACAATCCCTATCAAATAGGAGACTTCGTTGAGAATTTTTATTATTTTTATTTTTTTGTCAAATGACAATTCTAGTATTGAAGGAACTAGAAACTTAAAATAGGACGAGAACTTCAGAAAAATTATAAGTTTCTACAATTAACTATGTATATACATATTAATTAATCATATATTTATAGAATTATTTATAAGTTCAGAGT